CGAACGAACCGGACATTAGTTAACCCCTTAAATCTTTTGTGGTGGAACACTATCCACGTGACTGGAATAAACGACTACCTTGCGGCCTGATGGCCTATCGGGTGACTTTTCACTCTTCCACTGGCTATATACCATTTAAGTTAATGGCAGGGCACAATTGCCGTCTTCATGCCGACTATCAGACACCCCTACAACTACCAAACACTCTCACGTCCAACCACAATGTTTTATGGCTGCAAAGGGTTATCCGACTCATTCACAACCGGATCACATCTCAATTAGGACAGCTTACAAACACTAGAAAAGTAACTTCGACGAACAAAGGTATTGTTATTCCTATATAAATGGCGAGCTTGTTTGAAAATACCACAGCGTGCCTCCGTTAGTCACGTCTTCGAAGATTTTCCATCAGTGGGAAGGCGCATTGTTGTTATGGACGTCATATCCCCCGCTACCTACGTGCTACAAGAGATTATAATTGTGGATGGACCAGTTTTTACTGCAAATTGCGATAAGCTTATACCGTACAGATGTCGCTTCCCTGCTAGTACGCCGGACAGACTTCCCATCATCCCACTACGCCAAGTACATCCAGCTGCTTTCGAAGTCGTAATGAGTTATGTGTCGGCAACTGGCCCTGTGGAAAGGGCCATCTCCGAAGGAGTGGGGTATTGTAACAGAGTCCCAGAATAGAGTATTTATTGGGTGCAGGACGGATAGTAGTGAGGTTGAATAACGAAGAAGGCGAGGGATTTTGAGGATAATCTATTGCTTGGAGTATAACTCAAAACATCCACTTTCCGAACAGTATGTCAGATTCAAATAATCTTGTTCGGGTGTCACTTTCTTCTCACTCAGATTCACATATTTTGTACTTCCCTTTGGATGTGAGATTTAGGTATGCATTGCTGAGGATATAAAGACTCCATCTTTTAAAGCAATGAACAAATATTAGAGTGGTGCCATTACAGAAAAGAAAGGCGTAAATAACCCACAACTTCTGAGCCTAAGACGCTCGAACGCTACGCAGACTATTAAAATGGGGGCTAAAATTTTGCACCAGTCATTTGAAAGCTTTAACTGCGGTATTTGAGTAAGCGCGGTACGCAAGCGAACTCGTGGTGCTAAGAGTCCTGGCGATTCACACTTGGTAGTGTGCTTTCAAAGACAGATAAACCTGGCGTCATGAGCCGTTGGCAATGGTCCTACCATACAGCGTATTCCAAAAATTAGTTTAAATCTTAGTGTTTCCATCTAGATGGTTTTACCTTCCACTGTTTTGGTCGGATAGCATCTCTAGATGCAACAGTGCGATACAACTGTAGGCAACTCCTGACACTGATATACTTATTCGGCCGAATTGTTTGCTACGATATGGCAACGTAATTCCGGCCATGAAGCCGTGTGAATAGCACCAGCGGCTTCATGTTCACCTTATACACCTGTTTGTACTCGCGCCCATAGCGCTGGCTGGGTTTCACGGCTTTCTGCGCCTAGACCTCTGGGTCGCACTACTTTTGGTACCCCGATCGGTGAGCCGCCAAAGTGCTCTTACATTTAAATGCATTTTACCAAATATTACATTTGGCTGTCAAATGTCCCGGGATGTGACCATGTTCAGTATGCTTCGTATGTGTTGGTGATGATGTTATGAGTCGGACATGCGCACTCCTAACAAATAAATTTGAACGGCACGGGTTGTTCGCGTAGAGACTTGCGTTTGAGCCAGTCAAAGAATATAAACTCTGTGTCAACTTTGCCTTAACAAAATGTTGTGGTTATGTTATGGGGGAATATATCTGTGCCCGTAATCTTGGTCACCAGTCCGGATCGCATTTTAAAGGTACTTGCTTTCGAGCGTCCTTTTTGTAGTAAACCTCACTTTGCCTCTAACATAGACTTGTTCTAATAATTATTTGCGAATACCGATAACTCAGTCAAGTTAATTTTCAGTTTTGCTTCCTACCCGCTCCTTACAGCAGAACTTATTCGGAGGTCCATTTTAGAAAGGTTGGATCTGCACAGTATGACGGCTGAGAATAAACCAGAGCGTTTGCCACAGGATTTTTCTCCTCGAATAGGCGGTGATGGTATTAACTGCGTGGAGTTTTTGCCGTCTACCGAGCAAAGCATGTTTGCCATCGGAACGTCTGGTGGACGCGTCCGATAGTAAGTCGAGTTTTTGACCACATTCCCCAATTTAGTTATGAGGTGCTAGACGGGGACTGCAAGTGCGTTTATCAAAAAAGATGGCATAAAACTGTCCGGTGCCTGGAATTTAATAAGTATGCACCAAATCATCTAATATCTGCGTCCGCTGAGGGCGGCATGAAGGTTCACGACGTTAAAACGGGACAGAGGGTTGCTTACTTTCGCCCAATGGAGGATACACCTCCCTATTCTTGCTTGCTTTCTGTTGCCGACCATCGATGGGCTTCAGGTGATGACGGCGGTTCAGTTAAGGTATATTTTATTGTTAATCTGTCTTTATTTACTAGGTATGGGACGACCGCCAAAAGGGCGGGCTTTGTTGTACAATGAAACCAGATGCTACCGAAGACAGTGAACTGATGGCCATCAACGATATTGCAATGGGCTCGGATGCGCAGAGTACACTCCTAGCGGCAGTGGACAACGGATGCCTGGTTGCTTACAATGTTCGTCGACGGAGGAAAGAAATGACATCAGAGCCAATGGGTTACAGCGCCCGCGCAGTGATTACGATAAAAGTTAGTTTGTTCCGCCAAAATTCTCATTTTACGATTGAAAAGTCGTATTGGCAAACAATTGTTTTCGATCATTCATCATCAAGCCGGTACATGACATGGGGAATTAAAATGGTCAGTTATTTGCAGCGTTTATATAATCGTCCCCCCCCAACCAGACGATTATATAAACGCTGCAAATAACTGACCATTTTAATTCCCCATGTCATGTACAAACTGTGTTGCTCGTTACATGGACACGCTATGCACCAACCCGCAAATTAGAAGTATGATAGAGATGTCGGTTATGGCGACTTAAACGCTCTGAATGTAGACTGGAATCTGACTTCTGTAAAAAAGATAAGAATTAAACTTTGATCCTCACCTCGTACAAGCGATACAACATTTATCTTCCGCTCAACACGTTACATCCCCAATCAGACCGTGTCAAAGACGGAAAGTCGACTGCTTATCCAATTTCTCTGACAAAAGCGCTTGACAGCACCAATCTCTTAAATTGTTTGCTCCCTCTCAGCAGAAGCGCCCACGTAGTGATCGATGCATCACGGACAAATGTAACCTGTGACGTAGATATTTTAACCAAATAAAGGCGGATGTGAGCCGTTTAGACTTGACTTCAATATTCTGTGGCCTTTTTGAAAATTGGTCGGAGGTTAAGGTCGTATTACACTGACCTATCGCTTGATGCATTATTAGCCGTCATCAGTCATCTATATTCAACTCAAGGCTCACAGCAACAGGCTCTTCCTATAGGTGATCGCGTTACTCGTCTCGCAGAAAAAGTTGCCATAAAAGATTAGCCTTGGGTAGCGTTTATGCCAAGACGCGTCTGTCTTTTAAGTTATCCATATAGGAACAGCTTTCAAATTGCACAAGTTATATATTTAAACGTCCTTTAACCCACTTTTTTGCCGCGCAGGACAACAGGAAAGTGCTGGTGGGGACTGATGAGGGTGTTGTTCTCACCTACAACTGGAACGAGTTTGGCAGTATTTGCGACCGCTTTCCTGTTCGTACCAGTCGTACGCGTCTAAGTAGCAGTACTCTGGCAAAGACTGTGGAAAGTGGCCTGCCTTCTGTGGAGAAATTTGCGAAAATCAGCGAAGATATTGTTATTATTGGAACTGACGATGGTGCTCTGAGGTAAGTCTTCCTAGGATTAACTGTTCTTAATTTTTTCTCTTTCGTGCTATTCCGAAACAATATCATCAAAAAAAGTTATGTCGAAACTGAGCATGCAGACCACTGGATTGTGGTTTAAACGTCGAACAGTACTTGATTTTTATGGTCTTTGGAGAGCTTTTCAGCATTTGCGTTGCTTTTCCTGAAAGGCGTATACCCGATAAACGCGTTTAAGCATTTTCACACGATTCTTGTTACTTCCATACTACAACCATCCGAATTAAGCAATTGTGTCATAGTGGCCGATAGATCTTGAAGCGTTTGACTGATCATTTTTACGTGCGTTTTCAGTTTAAAAATTCAATAATGTGAGGTTTCAGAAGTAGTTAGCATTGATCATGATTCCGAATTAATCCTCATATGGTATCGCGCTAGCTTGTGGTCGCATTTATTTTCATATATCTGTTTAATATGTTTGTGTAAAAGAAGTTGTATTTTCTGAAGGCTCTTCTCGAAAAGATCCTTTCTTGCATATGTCAATTTTATAATAATAATAATAATAATAA